TGTGTGTGTGTGTGTGTGTGTGTGTGTGTGTGTGTGTGTGCGCACGTGTGTGTGCGTTTTCCATAAAGGGCTGTTTGAGGTTAAAGTTAGGGTGAGTGCCAACATCAGTGAGTGTCCACAGACAGTATGCGTGTCTGTCTATGTAGTGTTGTTGTATGTGTGAAGCTATGTGAGTCTATACGTGTGTATTTTGTGTTTTTTAATATATAACAAGTCTGTGGCTTATCGATCTCTGCCTTCCCCCACTTCATTAGCACAATCCACTGTTATCAACATGTACTACTCACTCTCTCTTTCCTTCACATACACACACTGGACCGCAAGTAGAGGATCTGCAAATCTGATCTAAGTTTCGTACAAAGAATGATCACATACGAGCCTGACAGAAGTTGCTATCCTACAAATAGAGTAGGAGAGCTCAAAAAACACACAACAGCGGTAAAACCTTGACAGGCTATGCTGATAATTACTTAACATTAACACAGTATCGTTCACAGGAAGCTGACACCCTGCATATAAGCTCTAAAATCATCTTTGTTCTGACTATGTATTATGCAACCACTAGCTCCAGGCTAACATATTTTAACGGATGTGTTTTGTGATGTAAAATTATGACGACACAGCAAGTGTTAGTGATAGTGAACAGGATTCCACATTTACTAAGCTGTATTAGTTTCCTTTTTTGTAAAACAGAAAGAAGACTTTTACTTGCCAGCACAATCTGCGAGTGTTCTAACCCTGAATATAATTAGCCATTTACTATGCTAATTTGTTAGCATGGAGCAATGGGGGTGAATGATGTACTAGGTACATACTTCTGGTTCCAGTGTGCCAAAGCAAATGAAAAATGAGTCACAACAACACAAACACAGTTGTTTGTTTAATTCAGCGGCGTGTTTGTTGTGGTGTCTGTGAATGAGAAGCGCCTGTATCTGACAACAGTGGGAATCAATGAGTGTCGGCATGGTTAATATATCAGAGAGAGCCTTATGCTTTTGAATCTAGTGAGGTTGTGCTCTCTGTCTAAAGTCTTTCTGCTCAGAGATGTTGATATTTGATATTAGTCATCAGATGCTGACAAGAGGCTGATAGTTTGACCCCATCACCAAAGGTGAGCATCAACCTCTCAATCAAAACGAGACTCTTAACCTTTTTCCTCCTCCTCATCCCTACATACACCTCTGAACATCGCACTAATCCATCCTTTCAACTTGTCTTTTGACTGCAAAATACAAGAATCCTTGGCCTTCTGTCTTCACATCACACCTAAGTTGAGTCTCATTTGTGACCCATGTGTCATGTCTTAGCACACTAATGGAGACTCTGGCACCAAGGAAGTGCTGTCACTTGATGAATCTACATACGCACAGTCTATCACAAACAAAGTTCTTCATGCAGCTTTTGTACTGCTTACTCAAACTGCTCACTGTTTTTATATAAATGACATGTATTTCTGAGAAAATATAACTTTATTCTTTCACACTTCCGGGCCCAACACTGCCCTCACCTTAAGCCATTTCTCCCATTTCTTTGATCACTGCATTTACTCACTTCTTTCGGTCACTCACATCAGTTCAATCTGATCCAATTCAAATGAGTTTTATTGGTCAAAAAAGAAGTGCCTCTTCAACCAAAACTTCTCTCACTCCCTCTCCCTATCTGTACCTCTTTTCATTCACTGACTCAACAGGCCAGAAAAAACATCTGAAACCATCTCTCTGTTCGATCCATTCTTCAACATTCAGAGTTTAACTGCGTGGTCCCCTTTTTTTCTGTTATTTCTAAACATTTAAAACTGAAGGATTGCCTTCTGTCCACCAATAGTATTAATTTGATAATTACCTAAACAATTAGTAATGAGCCTGATCATATTATTTATTCTATTAATGCATATATAGTGATATCTTAAAGCAAACAAATGGTCATGCAAGCACCTCTTGACTGTTAAATCTGACCTACCTCAGTGAGGTGGGGGTTGGGGTTGAATCCACACTGGTTGCAGACAGTGGCCTTGCACTGGGTGCAGGTGTTGTAGTTGGGTACAGCCGGTGGGTTAGACAGCTCTGTGGTGGTGCACACTGGGCACAGCTTGCTGCTCGGCATGGGTGCTATCTGTGGCACTGAGTATGGTGAGGTGGGTGTCACACCACGGTCAGGAGACAAAGAAGGAGACCGACCTGTCCTGGAGCCGCCGGAACCACTGAAGTCAACTTGGAGGTTTCGGCGAGAGGCATGTTGACCGGGACTTTGACCTCCATGACCCCCCATGCTAGACCCAGCTGGACCGTGACCCATCCCTTGACCAGACCCTGGACCCTGCCCCATTCCAGAGGCCTGGCTGGACTGCATATGTCTAGGAGAGGTAGGAGCTTCGTGAGTGGCCAGGCGGTAAGGCTCACCAGCTCTTGACCCTAGTCCTCCACTGCCCATTCCTCCTCCCATTCCCCCCATTCCTCCTCCCATTCCCCCCATCCCTCCTCCACCTAATCCTCCCATCCCTCCCATCCCTCCTCCCATTCCCCCCATCCCGCCTCCACCTATTCCTCCCATAACTCCTCCCATTCCCCCCATCCCGCCTCCTCCCATTCCTCCCATCCCACCTCCTCCCATTCCACCCATCCCACCTCCTCCCATTCCTCCTCCTCCCATTCCTCCCATCCCACCTCCTCCCATTCCACCCATCCCTCCTCCTCCCATTCCACCCATCCCTCCTCCTCCATGGCCTCCTTGTTGCATGCCAGGCTTGGGACTACCCATTGGAGCCATTGGACCCCTAGAAGAGACAAAGCAAAGGAAAAAAAAAAGTCAAAATCAGACGTTTCTGTTAAAATCTCTAAAACAGAAATTCATTCAACCTTCCCAAAAAGTGACAGCACACTGGCACTGCAGGTTAACTGATATTTAAGGAATTTGGATCAGGATATTGTTTCTTACACTCACCATAACCAAAATTATACTAAGGCACAAGTGTCATAAACAAAAAAACAGTGGGCTCTCTGGAAGGCAGTGTTCCAGCAGTAAACGTTGTTGCAAATGTTTTCATACGTAGCTTACATTGTCTACATTAATCTAGGTTCTTATGCAGAATTACATTTATTTGTGGGTAACAGTCGAGATCACATTAAAATATGCCCAGTTAACACATCTACTGTATGGCAGTCCTTCCAGGATGCTTGTTTTATCTGTATATAGGATAATAAGTTCGTGGCTGATTATTGCTGGGACAAAATCACTCTGTACTGAAACACCAAAACATTTCTATGTCTTGCATATAGGTCAGACAAAGGCTAAAAACTTTTTGTCTACAAAGGCAACACTGTATGTATTGTTGTAATAAGTAAGAAAAAATAATGATTATTGCTTTGGTCTGAATTTACTTTGATTTTCTCTTGTCTAAACAGGGTCAAAAGAAAACATGCAGGCTTAAATATAAAGATGCATTCACTTAAAGCTTTTAATTAGTCAGGCTGAAGACTCTATTTTTAACTTGGAAAGGCCAAGGCCTATTAACTTCTCATTAGTGATCACAGTTGACTACAGCTGGTATTTTTTGTTGTCTTTGCAGGCATAAAAATGAATTGTTTAACAGCACTTGGTGAACTGACTGCCACTCAGAACAATTGAAAAGTCAAACAAACTCAGTGAAGATCTAAGAATGAGAGTTGTAGATTTACTCAAGTTTCAAATGTCTCTTGGAGCCATTTCTAAACAACTGCAGCTTCCAGGATCGTCAGTTCAAACAATTGTCCATAACTACATGTTATTTGGATGTCATCGCTTTGCCAAAATCTGGAAGGACACCCAAACTCTCACCCTCAGATGAGAGGAAATTGGTTAGGATGTTCAGGAACAACCTGGGAACAACTACTCCTCAAGCCTGCCGTGATTTAGAAACTGCTGTAACATCAGCGCGACTGTCCACAGTGAGTTTTACATCTCCATGGACTCATAGCATGCTAAACAAGAAAAAAAGCCCCTGCTCCAAAATTGACCCCTTCAATCTTGACTGAAATTTGCAGCTACCCACATTGACAAGTCAAAAGCCCTTTTGGAGAAAAGTTTTATGGTCTTATGAGACAAAGCTTGAGCTGTTTGGCCACAGTGAGAAGAGATGTGTTTAGAAGAATAAAGTTCAGGTTTCTAAACTTAAGAACGCTGTAGCAACTGTCAAGCATGGTAGTGGTAGTGCTCTGGGGCTATTTTGCTGCCAGAGTTACTGCTACATTGTACAAAGTGGATGGAATAATGAATGAACAAGGACTATCTCCAAATTTTTCAACTTCACCTCAAATAAACAGTCAAATAAATAAACTTAGGCCATGGTTTGGAGTTTAGACAGGACAATGATCCCAAACAGACATCAAAACTCGTTCATGGAATCAATAAAGCAGGCTAACATTAAGCTTCTGCAATAGCCTGCCTGAAGTTATAACCTCAATCCTACTGAAAAATTGCAGACTACATTTACAAGTCTGATCCATGCCAGAAAACCAACCAACCATTTTAATGAACTCAAATATCCAGTCAGCACTATACCAGTAGGAGTAACTTGCCAATGGACATTTTACCAAGTCTTAGTTGTACTTTGCGTATATATATAATCCTGTATGTATGACATTCCCCACAATGAGTACATGTTAATTTCTGACCACAACTTTAAGTGTCATGGTTCATTCCAATATATTTTCTGCAGCTGTGGAAAAGAAAATGAAATAAGCAGTGCTGGGATAGCAAACACAGTTAATTTTTTTTTTTTTAATTTAAAGTACTATTAAATGAGTGGATGCTGCAGGAGAATTAAGCCTATAAATTGTCACTGCAGAATCAATTATCTCTTCACTGCCAGAGAAACAATGGCAGGAGCAACTTTAAAAACCAGCAAAAGAATTATATATTCATTCACTGGACTCTGAACATCCACAGGCATAAACAAATTAACAGAACAGAGCTGGCTGTAGCTAGCCAGCACACACACACACACACACACACACACACATCATGATTCTGTAGTGAATATTCGAAGTGAGTCTTACTGACATGTACAGCATTAAGCATTCAAAGAAAAAATATTTCTGACTTTTGGATATTTAGTGGTGAAGCATTCTTCTTCTCGAGGTTTTGGGGGTGGGAGGGGTCGGAGGCAGCCTATCCGAGGTAAGACGCAGTACACCTTAAACAGGTCGCCAGTCTATCTCAGAGACAACACAGAGATTCAAACAATCGTTCATGCTCACAGTAAACCCTGTGGGTAATTTTGAATGACCAACCACACTAACATGCATCAGACTGTAGGATGAAGCCAGAGTACTTGGAGAGAAGGTGC